CAGGGTCCTAATGATCGTACCTGTGATTGAACTCTTTAAGTTCCTAGTTATTTTCAGGTTTCATGAACTCTGTCATGTACAGAAGTCAAAGATAGGAATATATGATCCAAAATAAGAACACGGGACAAGAGGTGAATAAAAGGGATATCGAACCTACGGTGCTGTGTTCAGTTCCAACCATGTGAATTGATATCTCTTGCGGTCTTTCCAATGCTAAAAATTTGGAATCGATCTGGATTCGGGTTAATTTCGGTGGTATTGGACAACTGAAATGTGGGGAGACTGTTGACTTTCCTAGTTTATCCGACAGTTTCCGTCTTCCATCATTTGTTTTGGTATGATATTGGAAGATGTGTTTTGCTTAGTGGTCTGAGTTATCTTGTTATACTTTTCCTTGGCTTGTGCAAGAAGTTGCAGGATCTATGCTTGACATAATGATAGACTGATAAAAAGGATACCCGGTCTTGGGGATGCCCCAATGGACCATATCTCGTCACACGGTCACCATGATTGGCCAATTTTAGGTTTATTTTTCTACCTTAAGTGAAACAGAATCATCTTAGTGATTATTTGTTCTTTCCAGTGCATCTGAAAATGACCCAATTACTGTGATTTCTAAAGTGATTGGCTGGTTGCTATTACTTTCTCCATAAGTAACTAGTTCACTGACTAGCTTCGTTGGTGATGTTGACAACCTGTTAGTTTAATTTATGAAGCTAAGAATAGTCTTGGAGCACTCTTAGATAGAAGCGTGTGAACTATATTAATGGTAATAATCATTTTTGGTTGTTCCAATTTATTTGCCTATTTAAGGATCTTTAATTATCAATTTTCACTAAAAAGAGAGAGAAGGAATCCTTAAGTCATTTAGCCAAATGGAATAGGAGCAAAGATCTATTAGTGGAACAAAGCTCTAAGAATGATCTCTGGCAAAGGCACTAGAAAATTGGACACTTGAATTCAGATGAAGTGGAGTGCCACAAGCGTCTTCAAGGTTGGATCTTTGATATTCCTTTAAATTGAACTCCTTGAAGTAAAGGGGAAATTTATATAATTAAGCACGAGGAAAGCTTGTGAAAGGTAGGTATCATTTGGGTAATAACAAAATCTTGATTTTTGGTTCAGTATTCTGGATTTTGATGCAGTGTTCAGATTTAATTTTGGGAAATTTACAGCCAAATACCATTCAGCCATCTAGTTTACAATCATATACCTAGTGTATAGGTAGTGTATACTTTATACTGAATATATATATGATGTACATATACAATACATGCCTATATACATCATATACAGCTGCAGTGCACATGTAGTGTATACGTCGGACATGTTGGCAAACTAGTTGGCGGAAAAAATTAACGCCAAATACCATTCGACCATCTAGTATACAAAATATATCGAGTGTATAGGTAGTGTATACTTTATACCAAATATACGCATGTTGGTAGACTAGTTGTTCTAAGGTTACATTTACGCATGTTAATTTTAACCTTCCTTTTGGAATTTTTGGAAAACTTGGTGCTGTAACTGTTGAGATTTTCTGGTTTGGAAATTGTTTACTTGCATTTATTCTTGGTACTGTCCATTAGTAAAACTATCTTACCTTATTCCCACAAAAAGAAGGAATAGTGTTTGAGCTTCCAGTTTAACTTTGATAACAAAAAGTAAATTTATAGTTCTTCTCTACTCACCTCTATTACTGCTTATTGCTCTTTGCTCAAAACACTGTAGCCGAAGCTGGGTAGCGATTAAAGTAGACATGAACTATTAAGGCAATTCGTTGTGAATACTTTATTTAGAGGTGTTCCTTATTTGTGAGAAGAATAAGCAAACTTATAGGCTCAAACCGAACCGATTAATCTGAAATCAAACTCTAAATAACCAAACCAAATCAAGCTTATTTGATTTGTATTTTGTAAATCTGAAATTCAAAAATTCATATGGATGTTTTCATAATCCAAACTGCATTGCCGGGCACCTACCCCTATCCATACTTGTTTACCTTGGTCGTGGATGGTGTAGTCAATAGTATAGATGATGAGGTTCCATGGTGCAATCTACTTAAAAATTATAGTGTAAACTTTTGAAACTCGTGAAAAGGTAGGCTAGAAGTTGGAACAATGGAGCAGAATTATAGGAACTAGATGGTAATGTGTTTTGGGAGTAGTAGAAGTAAGAAAAATATATGCATTATAGATTTAGTCCCTCAAAAAGAATGAAGAAGTGAGATTAGACGAGATTGTGACACCTGATGTAGCCAAATTGAATATTTAAGCTTAGTCTTTTAAAGAGAATTGTTAGATGACAATGTAATACGTTGGATGATTGAAATGGAGGAGTGCTACAGGAACATTACGCAATAAGCAGATGCATAATTAAGTGAAATGCAAGTTATATAAAATAATTGCGAGACTAATAAAGCTATATGACAGTGAATGTACTTAGGTCTTCAAAGGCCATATCGTAAGATGGATATTATAAATGTATAAGCATTCTTTTTACCTGATAAAAATATTATAAAAGTTAAGATTGATGTGCGGTCATAAGGATTTGGTGAAATTAGAATTGATCATATCTAACATTGGATTCAAGCAGCACAGATGGACAGGATGACAGGTCAATCTGAGCCGGTTTTGACACCATATACTATGCAAAACTCCAAATGTAGTGGTTCATAGGTGCTATAGAGTAAGATAGTAAAGAGGGTAAGATATCGATCTAAAATTATATTGGACAGTAGTAGTTTCAAAAGACATATTATCTCATCGAAAAAAAAAATAATGGTTCGATGTTTGTCAAGAGTACTTTATGTTGGCTCTAGACTTGTATATCAGTGTGTTGAGATGTGTGAGATCCAGATATCCTCTGTTTTTGTATATCTTAGATTTTGCTTTAAACAATAAATTATCTACTGTTGGAAGAAAATAGGCTTCGATAGAGTGGAATGTATATAAAGGACCCTATAGACAAACTTTAACTAATATAGTTGGCTGCTGTGTATGGTGTTGATCTTTACGTACTTGGGAAAACTAAAACATGTATCTGCAACAATTGACACTTTTATTTTGTTCCTTCTCCCTGTTATCGTTGATCCGTTCATTAACAAATACTTTCTACAGATAGTGAATGATTTGAAATTCACGGTAACCCAAGCAGTGGAGCCTGTAGAAAAAGGAATTCAAAAATTGCATAAGATCTCTCAGAACATAAAGAAGCATGAGAAAGAGAAGCGAACGAAGGATGACAGTTGCATTGCAACTTCATCTCCAACACGGAGGGTCATACGTGGGATAGATGATCCCCTTTTACATGGAAGCATTAGTGACAGTGGAGCTTCAAGGAAGAAGAAGCATCGTCGGAAATCTGGATATACCAGTGCAGAAAGTGGTGGAGAAAGTAGCAGTGATCAGAGCTACGGTGGTATCCAAGTTCGTGGCCGTAGATGGCTTACTAAGGATTAGTCAGGAAAGAGAAAGGGCAGAAAGTAATTGCTTTGAAGACCTTCTATACAGTATGCACACCTCTGCCTGAAAATCTAGAATTATTTTAACTCTCTACAACATCATTCTTCTGCTCCAAGGAAGTTGAAGTATTGCTTCAGCAAAGTCAATCTGGGGCTTTTGCTCTCTGCAGAGTTCAAAGTGCTACATTATGAAAGCACTTACATACATATTCATTCTCTCTTGTCATTGTTGTTGCAACTTGCACATAATGGTCTTCAATGGTGTATAGATAGATGTATCCTCATCGGTGTATGATCCCGTGTTGTATCAGGATCAGTCTGCTTCATATAGAAGGATTTGCATTCAGATTTTGAATCTTAGGAAGAAGTATGTCCCTCCTTGATGAAATTAACTAATGGCAGTTATTTATCTCATCAAATGGTGTTTAGGTAACCGCATTTTAGGAAGGGGCGCTATAAATATTTAGACCTCTTTCTTTAATTGACATCGTTAGTGCATAAGCAGTGCACCACAACTCGTTTTGGTAGAAAAAATGTCACTTATTAAGGAGTAAAATATTTCTTTTCATTCAAGATATTTTTAGATAAAAAGTCTTGATAAAAGTAAAAGAAAATGTTTTTACTTTATCGAATTTGATTTTCTTTGTGAATTATAGAGTGAGTATTGTGTATAACCCTGCCGTAAAATTCATTTTAATTTGTATAGTAATGTACTCCCTCCGTTTCAAAAAGATTGGTTTAGTTTGATTTGGAATGAAATTTAAAAAAAAGAAGACTTTTTAATTTTGTGGTTCTAATTTAAAGTTATGTCAAATGTATAATCTTCTGGTTTTAATTATGCCACGTGAAAAATTAAAATATTACTAAAAAAAGAAAAGGGTTATTTTTTTAAAACAAATTAAATAAAAATAGAATCATTCTTTTTTTAAATTAAGAGAGTAATTTATATTTTGGGGGACTATCACAAAAGTGGTAAATACTCTTTATTTATCTATTTTGCAAAAAATAGTCTAGTAATACAGTTAGTTCACATTTGTCTTTTTTTTGTTGTCCAAACTTAACTTTTCATAAAGAATTTTACATATATTTATTTGAAATTTTATAGGACATCTTATTAGTAGTCAAATTTTAAACTACGACAAATTTAGAGAAAATTCAAACAGTCTTACATTACATATTTATTTTATAAAAAAAATAAATAAATATCGACCTCCATTAATCGATTATAATTTTCTTTTTAATAATTTAATTTGTTGATCAAATAAAAAATTAGGCAATATATTACCTCGTATATTTTAAGTAAGTTCTTTTTTAGATTCAAATGTTAGCCTCAATCAAATGGCATAAGTAACCTAAAGATTGTTTTTTTTAATCCATTGTTCGGAGTTCATATTGGAGCTCGATTAGATCGCACGGATTCATTCAAAGTGGCGCTTTTAATAAAAAAATTCTTCATCTGAAACTCAAAACCTCGAGCCTATTAAAAGTGATACTTCCAATAAAATTTTCTTTGTTTCAAATTCAAAACCTCTGTTTAAACGTAAAACGCTAAAAAATAATACATCACTAACTCATGTGTCTAAGTAAGCTAAAGATTGTGAAACTTCAGGAAGCATACCTGAAAATCTGAAATTAGCGGAAGAAAGACTTTGAATAGCTATATAGAAGAATCAAGTAATCCGATATGCTGAATAGTATTGATCGACGAGACACACGTATCGGAGTTAAAGGATAGACTGGTAGTTTGGAGATACACCTTCAAATCAAGTCGGCCAAGTTGGAGTCTAGGTTTAGTGACGAAATGTATTTGAATGGAGGTCAGATCACAAGGGATACCAAAAAAAGGGAGTTTCAAGTATCTAGGGTTTATAATCCAATAAACAGGGAGATTAGCGATGATGGTGCTTATTGTGTTAAGAGTGGGGTGGGTGGAATGGAGTATTGTGTGATAAGAATGTGTCACAAGGTAAGTTATGTGGTGGTAACTGGTTAGACCTATATTGTTTGTACGAGGTGAAGGCCCATCAAGAAAACACATGTTCAGAAAATGAAGGTAGCACAAAGGGAGATGTGCATAGGAGTGGCAGGAAGAGGAATAGAGTTATACATGACAAGGTGGAGTGACCTGTATGTTGGATAAAATGAGAGAAGTGAGATTGAGGTGGTTTGGACATGTGAAGAGGAGGTGCGCGAGGCAGTAAGGAGGCGTAAACGTTTGATTATAGCCCAGAGAAGAAATGGGAAGATGTAATTAAACAAGACATGGCACATCGTACTGATGGCACGATGCTAGATTGAAAGGTATGGAGGTCCAGGATTAGAGTAGAAGGGTAGTACTACTTTTACGTGGGAGAGGCAGGGAGCTAATCTCCTCTTCTCCTTTGTTACCAGTATTACCTAGTATTCACATAGTATCCTATCCTTCCATTTTGGTATTATTTCTTACATTATTTTCTGTGTTTATCCTGCTATTTTGCTGTCATTATTTTTCTTTTAGCTCTACTTTGATTACACTTCTTTTGAGGTTTTATTGGAAACAACCTCTCTAGCCATCAAAGGTAGTAAGGTGTGGTAAATTTCACCCTTCCCGCATCCCACTTACTGGATTACACTGGGCATGCTATTGTTGTTGTTTGAGGTGAAGAATGTTGACTCTCTCTAAAATGTGTACTTGCAAGCAAGAGAGCTACTTATTTTAGTAAAAGTCTATTTCAGTTTGCTATATGCTTATGGTTTATGTTTTACATATTAAATAAATTACTGTAGCTCTGGTAGATTCTTGATGTGTTGTTGTTTGATTGAATTGAACCATATTGTCTTCTTTTCTAAGAAAAGCATATATGATAGGGAGTGGGGTTAGGAAATACATTGCAATTTGCTCGGGGAGTAAGTTATCATTCTCAAAAAAAAAAGTACATTGCAATTTGCCAGGGGAGTAAAAGACTGGACCTTTTTTTCCTGTTGTAAAAGACTGGATTTCGTTCTATTGGGGTGCTGGACCAGACATCACATTTATCAATAAGTAGAAGTTTGGCTTCAGTGTACCTCATAGTCTGCTCACATTTCTATATGATGGAACTATAATGTTTGTTCCACTTTAAGGCGAAAATGTAGTCGATTATGGACAAAGGAGTCTTCTTAGATGCTTGTAACTGCCGGGATCAAGGTCAAGCCCGAGGCACTTATATATATTCAGATAAATGAACAATGTGGTTTCTGAATAGTTGTGGTAAATACCTTGAATTCCCTTTTCATTTGAATACACATTTCTCAATTTGATTTTTGTTTTCGTTGATAGCTCTATATGGTAGGATCAATGTCATGCCGAGAGTTTAGTCATTTAATATGAGTAGTTTTAGGTTTCTTGTTATGCTTATGTTGTATTATTGACTTGCAATGGTTGCTGCTTTTTTATGATTGAGTATATAAACCCTTGTGATATAATGTTTAAGACATATTTTTTGGCTTATTTATTACGAGCAAGAGTTGATTGTAGCCGATGATAGAGTGTAATTTACTGACAGCAAAGCACACAATGGAGTAAACCTAGGGCAATATATTTTTGCCAAAAAAGGCCTTTTATTTGTCTATAAAAGCTTCGTAGAGCTCTATAACTTTAGAAGCAAAATTCACAATGTTTTGTGCTGAATAGGCAAATCTGTAACTTGTGCTAAAATAGGGCTTGATTTCCGATCTTAGACTAGAAACAATCCCAAAGAAGGTATACAAAAATGTTGTTATTCATTCTCTTTCATTTTATATAGTTAAAAGCTTCGTATGACTCTGTAACTTCAAGAAGCAAAATTCATACTGTTTCTATGCTGAATAGGTAAACCTGTAACTCGTGCTAAAAGAGGGCTTGTCTTGGACTAGAAAATCGATTCCGAAGAAAGTATACAAAAAATGTTATGCTATTCATTCTCTTTCATTTTAGATCGTTAAAAATTTCGTATGACTCTGTAACTTTAAGAAGCAAAATTTGTATTGTTTCTGTGTTGAATAGGCAAATCTGTAACTTGTGCTAAAGAGGGCTTGATTTCCGATATTAGACTAGAAAACCGATCCTGAAGTACTTAGGTTTGAAAAATCTAGGGTTTTGCTTTGTGTTCAAATGTTGAATCTGGAAATGAGAATCTTTCTCTGATTCAACTTGTATTGGATCTTTCTTTTGCCAATGTATCTTGTGATCCTTCCTTTCAGGGTATAAAATACCCAAATATTCTGGTTTTAGATACTTCAATTTTTCTTGCTCCCTCAGTCGGTTAAATTTTGGTTTGGATCTACTGTAAGGTCCATGCTATATATGAGATTTTTGTTTGTGCTTGTATACTATTTTGAATGTTGGATCTTTCTAGGCATAACATATCAGTATGTCTAAATCTGAGCAAGTAGGAAAGAAAACTATGCAGAAATTGGTATACATTCATGCACTTATTGCATTTGTGTGCAGGTTAACTCTTGTTAGGGGCCATCCAGAATGAAAAATCTGGATTTATACTTTGTTTACGTATTTTTGGATACCAAAATGAAAATGTAGTTATGTAACCTTATAATGTCAGCTACACTATTGCTACTTAATGGTCCATGAATTCTGTTAATATTTTTTAGGTTTAGATCCTAGAGAGATGTTAAGGTTTTCAAGAGGAAGTTGCTTGTCAAGCTGGTCTATATATGTATAATAATAATAATAAATTTCTTTCTATTTTATTTATTATATAGGAGGAAGGGTATGTTGTTGTTGTATATAAGAAAAATGGAAATATTTCCTTTCTTTTCACAGACTCCTTCTTTGTGTCAGTACTACTAATGACCTATATGTTTGCCTACTTTACTTATTAAAGATAATGAGGATGGGTTGTTCAAAGAAAAAGAGAAGGCCCTTAGTTTCGCAAACCTGTGTCATTGTTTGGTTTATGATTTGTTTGTTTGTCTTTTAGGTAAATGCCTTGGATGTGGTGCAGATATATTTGTTTTTCCATTGAAACTTTTTTAAGTGGCATCCTTCTGTTGGTTTAAATATTATTATTAGGATTATTTTATGTCACACGTCATATTAGAACGTGGGTGGTGAAATTGAGGCTCGTATATGGTGTCTTATTTGATAAAGGACCCTAGACTTTAAGTATGTTTGATAGAGTGGTGGTTAGACCAACTATGTTGTATTAGGGTTGAGTGGTGGCCAATATATCTCAAAGTTTAGAAGATGAACTAGCAGAAATGAGGATGCTTAGATGGATCTATAGCCATACTAGTGGAGATAAGATCGGGAATAAAGGTATACAACGCAAGGTGGGGTGACATCCTTGGCGGACATTGAGATGACTTAGGTATGTGAAAAGGAGGAGCACCGATACCTAAATGAGGAGATGCGTGAGGTTGGCAATGATAGGTCTAAGGGGAGGTAGAGGTAGATGGAGGAAGAATTGAGGAGAAGTGATTAGGCAAATATGTCACATCTTCAACTCCCCGAAGACATGACCCTAATAGGAGAGTATGGAGGTTGAGGTTTAATGTAACAATTGGTAGGTAGTTAAGTGACTTCTCTCTTCCTAGTGGTAGAACAGGGTTCTAGGCTGGAGAGCCTATCCACTTACAAATATCATTATTATGCTAACATTATCTTTTTCTTTATTTCTATTACTATTGTTGTCACTTTTGCTTTAACTATCTTTTATTTTGTTCGAACCTCTTGTGGAAAATGAATTCTCTTGAATCAAGGATCTATAGGAAACAAGCTCTCTATTCCACAAAGGTAGGGGTAAGGTCTACATACACCCGACCCTCCCCAAACCCACTTGTGGGATTGGGTGTGTTGTCGTTGTTGAAGGATTCATATAGCTGGCCTCAACTTGTTTGGGGTATAGGTGTAGTTGTTGTATCCTTTTGACGGTTTGTGTAAGAGATAGTTGAGTTTACACTTGTTTGTTACATCAGTGGGAACTCTTAGAAAATTACTAAATTTAAGATTACATTTTATTGTCTTAGAAAATTTTCAATTCAAACTTTATAACTAATTACTTCAAAAATTTCCCAATATGTTTGATCTCATGTTTTATCATCATGAACTACAACAACATACCCAGTGAAGTCCTACTAGGTGGGGTCTGGGGAGGGTAGAGTGTATGAACTGTTATCTCTAATGGAAGTTTGATATGCTGAGATCGATGCACTCTAGGATTTCCAAAATGGCTAAATCTGATTAACTTGAGGGATGAAAGGTCTTGTTCCTTTCCTCTTGGTTTGTTGGAATAACGTATGCCAGTCCCTCTCTATAGATTAATCCTCAATCTGGAAAAACCTGTTCTTTCCAAATATCCCAATTTTTAAGGCTAAAGATTTTCTTCAGCTCAAAGTTTTCAATTTCTCGCACCTAAAATGTGCTATAATGTTTAACAGAGATGAATATGTATGCAAAACAAACAAGTTGTGTTTTGAACGAAGACCACTTGAGTGGACTACCAGATGACATCCTCATCCATATTCTCTCCTTATTGCCATTAAAGGATGCTGTCAAAGGAATCTGTAACGCAAGTAGAAGATTTCATAAGCTCTGGCCATTCATCCACACACTCAATTTTGATCAATGCATGTTTCCAGAACATGACTGTAACTATTATTTGGAAGCTAGTCGTCCCGACTATGACGAAAGTTTTTTGCACTCCGTTCGTCACGTGCTTCTTCGTAGTAAAAGCCCAACTATTCTTAAGTTCTGCCTTAAGTTTCATTTTAGATTGTCTTATTCATTTTGGCAAAGAATATCCAACAGCACAGACATACGGCTGTATGATTTCCTGAGGAGTGAGAAAAGGATGGCTAACGAAATTGGTACCTGGATCCAGTTCGCATTGAATAAAAATTTGGAGGTCCTTGACTTGTCTTTCTCTGAGCATGGTATAGTTGGGCCACAGGCTCTTTATGATCTGCCTAATTGTGTTCTAAACAGTCCTCATTTGGTTGAACTCCGGTTGACACACTGTACGATAAATGCAAAAAAGAAAAGTAAGCTGAAGTCTCTAAAAACATTGTATCTTAATAAAGTTGTGCTAATGGGTCAATCGATAGATTATATTCTATCTGGTTGCCCGATGCTTGAGGAATTGACATTGCAGCTTTGCTATGGCCATATAAGAGTGGTTGTGCTCAATTCAAATTTAAAGACATTGAAGCTTGACATTGGATGGTCTCTAAGAAGGATATATGTCTCCTGTCCAACTCTCCTATCATTAGATGTGTCTGGAGCTGTGGATGTGCTGGATATTGCAAATGTAGCATCTATTGCTGAAGTGTCTGTCAAACGCAATCTGATATTTGATTTCGATGTGCACAAGGATTACCAAGGGATAAGAATATTACTCCAAACATTTACCGGGACCAAAACTCTCAATCTATGTTCCTGGTTTGCTCTGGTACACACTTTTTCTCTTTCTTCGCAACTTCTCCAGGTATAGTTATGATTTCTGACTCTATGGAGAGATAACCTCTAGGGTGATATACTAACTATAAACTGTCTTAGAGGGGCTATGGTGTTGGGTTTTGTCTTAAACATCTCAGGCTCAGGTATCTGTCAATATTTGTGTACATTGTGCAATCTGCTTTTAAAGTCTTTGTTACTTCCCCTGTGATAGTCAGCACAAGTCTTACATTGTTCATTGAGTTCAATATAAAAATCTCTATTTGTTTAGTTTCTTTGACTTTTTACGTTTAATTTTTGTCTGCCTAGGTATTTTCTGCGTGGCAGTTGAAAAATCTACCATCTCCGACCTTCAGCTGCAAATCCCTTCATCTTAAATCGGATTTTATGATATGGAATCTACCAGGAATACTGAACTTGCTGAAGCACTGTCCTTGCTTGGAGAATCTTACCATTGAAATTACTTCTTCTCACAATGAATTTACATCCCATGTATGACAAAATTTGATAGTTATATTGCTATTGTTATTAACTGTGTTCTTTGCAATGTTTGTTTGGACAGTACACTATTCAGCGTCTGTTATACTTGGGTTGGTACAAGTCTTTATGGGAGATTTGCTCTTGTGCTTATTTCAGAAACAATTATCGTGGTATCGCCTATATAAGTTTGACGCGGATGAATACTGGAACATGGTAGATGCTCCTGTCCAGTGCTTGATTCATCACCTCAAGACGGTGGAGGTAGCTGGTTTCGTAGAGAAGCATCTTGTGATTCAGTTTTTGGAATATTTGCTCAGGCATTCCATGGTGTTAAAGAAAATGAAGATATTTGCAGAAAAGCAAACCGCTAAATATTATGAAGAGAGGCTATTGAATATACCAAAAGCCTCTGCCTCTGCTGCAGTGCTCTTCTACTGAGGTGAACCCTTAGTAGATACTTTTAGTTCGAACAGTTTGTTTCTGGGAACTCTTTTGGAATAAACAGTTAGTTGTTATTGGTCTGTGCACAATGAATTGCAATGTGGACACAGTTTCCTCCATTTTCTGTAATAACTGTTGAAGTGCTATCTTGTTGGATGTTTAGTGTCTGTGAAATTGCATTTATGGAAAGGCAGATTGATGGGCCTTCTATTAGTTATTCTGTTTTCTACTCTTTAAAACATTATGCAAGATTGTCCTTTGGGATTTTTTTTTCGTTGTTCAGAGTTGTTTGGCATGAGGTATAAGATATAATAAATCCAAGATAAATATAGGAATGTGGTTGAAGGTATTAGGTAGTCCTTGAATTATTTATCTCACCATTTTTGTCATAGTGATGTGATAAGTTCGGATATCTAGGATAACTTATTCCCGACCAAATGATCCCTGAGGCTTTACTATTATTGGTGCTTTTGAGTACTAGCAGAAATTTTCCACAAGTTGAAAATTCCAATGTAAATATTGAATAACTCGAGTGAGAAACAACAACAATGTGTTGCTTAAGACCTTACACTTAAAAAGGTGAACTCGTAATTTGAAGTATTATGATTTTTTTTCATCAAATTCATCGTTCGTTTTTACTCAAAAACATATCAAATTTATAGTTAGTTTTTATTTAACACACGCACATCAAATTTATAATTCATTTTTATTCAGTACACATTGAATTTGTCCAAACACATTACTGAAATTATAACTTCACGCCATCTTTTAAAAAGAGTCATTAAAAAGTGTAATATTTCTCTCCTTCAAGATGATTTAGATAAGAAGTAATAATAGAAGATAAGAAAATATGTATAATATACAGAATCTGATTTACTTTGTAATTATCAATTGTATACTTGTTACTTGTGTAATTTTTTTTTATGGAAAAGGGTTAAAGAATGTCTTTGGTTTCTCGTAAATGGCTATTATATTCTTCCTTCATCTATTTTACTAAAAATTTCTCATTCAATTATATTTTTGGCTCACTAATATAGTTATACCTTTTGACAAACATCAATACTGAATTTGGAAAAAGATTATTTAGAATTTATATGATATTTTTCACTGATTCAATTTTAAATTATAATCCCTATTAAATAAATCTACTAAATTTTATTTTACTTATCCACACAAGCTCTTACTGGATTTTTCAAATATTTATTCTCATTAATTATTTTGTGAAAGAAAATTAGCCTTCAATAGTTATGTATATCGACCTCAAGAGATTAATCTAAAAAAAATTAAAATTATTTTAAACAAAATTAACATCTGGAGCCTAGAGGTAGTTATTTTAGCTCAAAAAATACAAAATAATTTTTAGAACTAGATTTCACGATTTTTTTAATTAAAATAAAATTAACTTTTAGTATTTAATTTTTAGTGCAAAATATCGAAAAAATACAAATTAACCTTTAAAAGTAAAATAATATTTTTACAAAATATCGAACTTTAGAGGTCCATGCTAATCTTTTTTATGGTTTTAACTTACTATAATTATCACCAATAAATGTCACATAAATTTTAAATAAACTTTTTAAAAATTTATATTGAACAAAATGTCAAGAATTCATATATCCCATGAATATATTTTTGGCTATATAGAATAGCTGTATACTCCCCCGTTATTTGTTATTCTCCCGAATTTTGAAAATTAAATCAAATAATTTTTCTTTGTATAAATTAATAATTATTTAATTTCTAAATATATAAATTTTATTTTAAAATTTTCATACCTAAAGTTATAGTGAAAATTAGTTTCTCTGAAAAGCATAAGGGGGGGAGGAAGTAGAAGATTTGGCTCTAAATAATATTGGAATCGTAAGGGTTGGTTATTAATTTCGGTGTTTGTTTGGTTCAGAAGTTAAAGTTTTAATTTTGAGACTATAATTATAGTTATAATCTTGAGATTATCATGTTGTGTTTGGTTTGTGTATTTTGATTTATGTGTATGATTTTGATCCTAATATTTGAGTTCAAGAATTTCACATTTTAGTTATAAATTACTCTATTAAAGATATAGTTCTTCTTTTTAGCGAGTTGGGTTAGGAAGCATATTGCAATTTGTTTGGAATTTGCAGAGTGAGTAAAAGATTGGATTTTTTTTTATTTTTTTTGTTAATCGTTGTAAAAGACAGGATTTTTATCTATTAGTAAGTGTTTTGGGGTCAGGATACTTCATTTTTACATTCTGTTTATATCAGGATACTTCATTTTTACATTCTGTTCATATGAATTCAGATAAAGGAATGATGTGGTTTCAGAATAGTTGAGGTAAGATGCCTTGATTTTTCTTTTTTTCATTTATATAAGCATATCTGGATTTGAGTTGTTTTCCTTGGAAGCTCTATATGGTAGGATCAAGGTCATGTTGAGACTTTAAGTCATTTAATGTATGAGTAGTTTTAGGTTTTCTGGTTTATGCTTATGTTGTATTATTGTGATGGTTTTGCTGCTTTTTATGATTTGAGTATATGTAACCCTTAGATATAAAGTTTTATGACTTATTTAGTGTGAAGTGGGGGTTGCTTGTAGCCGATGGTTGAATCGAATGTACTGATAGCAAAACACACACAGGAGTAAGTCCAGTGGCAAATTAATTTTGGCTGAAAATGCTTAATATCCTCTGTAAATGTTTTTGTGCTGAAGAGGGCTTGTTTTCTGATCTAACACCAGAAAATTGATTCCGAAGAAGGTATACAAAAAATGTTATGTTATTTTTTCTTTTTTATACAAAGAAAGAAAGGTTCACTTTGTTTCATTTCAAGGTATATCAAGCCCAAGTGTTCTGTTTTTAGATACTTAAATTTTGTCCTGCTCGCCTTTTGGCTTAAAATTTTGGTTTAAATCTATTGTAAGCTGTGTGCTATATATGAGATTTTGGTTTCTGCTCATGTGCTATTTTAAATGTTGGGTCTTTCAAGGCAGCAACTTATCCATATGTGTAAGTATGTGCAGATATGTTCAGTTTTTGATCGAAAAGCGAAGAGAGGACTGTTATGAAATTGGTATATATTTTATCCACTTATCGCATCTGTGTGCAGGTTATGTTTTGATAGGGGCCTTTCACTTTCAGAATAGCAAATCTGGATTTCTATGTCGTTTCAAAATGTCGAGTGAAAATGTAGTTACATACTTAGTAATGCAAGCCACATTCCACTTAATGGCCAATGAGTTCTGTTGATATTTTTTGGTTATTGATACTTCATACCTTTGTTATGTTTTATTTTCTTGGTTAATGATCTGTCTGTTTGTCTTAGGTCTATGCCTTGGATCAGTATGCATATACCTTTTCGTTGAATATTTATAATCGGCATCCTTTTAATGTTTTGTGCAACAAATAGTTGAGTCTGACACCCAAGGGTGTCATCTAGTGGTCAATAAAGTGGGTTGAGAACCATGATATCTCAGGTTCAAATTCCAGTAGAGACAAAAACACTAGATAATTTCTTCTCATCTGTCCAAGCCTTGGTGGACAAAGTTACTTGGTACTCTGATGGTGGTAGGTGGCATGTATCCCGTGGAATTAGTCGAGTGGGAGCAAACTGACTCGAAGAAGATAGTTCAGTTTGCACTTAATTGTTATATTAGTACTCCTAGAAAATTATTGAATATAGATCGCATTTGCCCATCTTAGAAATTTTTTAATCCAAACTTCAAAAGTTAATTACATTAAAAAATGTTTCCCAATATGTTTGATCGCATGTTTCATCATCATGAACTGTTATCTCTAAATGGAAATATGATATGCTGAGATTGATGCACTCTAGGATTTCCTCAATTTGATTAACTTGAGGGATGAAAGGTCTTGTTCCCTTCCTCTTGGTTTGTATGAATAACATATGCCAGTTCCTCTCTATATATTAATCCTTAATCTGGAATAACCTGTTCTTTCCGAATATGCCAATTTAAGGCTAAAGACTTTCTTCAGCTCATAGTTTTCAATTTCTCGTACCATAAAAGTTAAATATGTAATGATATTTTACAGAAATGAATATGTATGCAAAACAAAGAAGCTGTATTTTTAATGAAGACCGCTTGAGTAGACTACCAGCATCAGATGTCATCCCTAATCCATATTCTCTCCTTATTGCCATCAAAAGCTGTTGTCAAACAATGTTAATTAGAAGATTTCATCACCTCTAGCCATTCATCCACACACTCACTTTTGATTTTGTTTCCAGAACATGACTGTGACTTCGCAGTAAGAGCCCAAGTCTTCATAAGTTCTGCCTTGATTTTCATTTTAGCTCAACTCATTCAATTCGGCAATGAGTATCCAGTAGAACAGACATATGGCAGAATGATCTTCTGAGGACTGAGAAAAGGATGCTAAAAAAATTGGTACCTGGATCCAGTTTGCATTAAATAAGATTTGAAGATCCTTGACTTGTCATTATTTGTCCATGGTATACTTGACCACATGTTTATATGATCTGTATAATTGTGTTCTAATCAGTCCTCATTTGATTGAACTCCGTTTGGTAAGATAAATACAAAAAAGAGACTTGATTTCTCTCTTCTTTTATGTATTTATCAAAAAAGATATATACAAAAAAGAAGAGTGAGATCAAGTCTCTAACAACAGTTTCTCTTGATAACATTATACTAATGGATCAGTCAATGGATTATATTCTATATGGTTTCCAAATTCTTGAGGAATTGACGTTGCAGTTTTGCTATGGCCATAGAAGAGTGGTTCTGCTCAATTTGAATTTAAAGACATTGGTACTTGGCATTAGATGGTTTGTAACAAGGACACATGTCTCCTGTCCAACTCTCCTATCATTAAATATGTTTGAAACTGTGGAGGTCAGAGGTCTTGGATATTACAAATGTAGCATCTATTGTTTAAGTGTCTGTCAATTGTATGGAAGAATTTGGCTTCGTAGAGTACAGGGATTACCAAGAGAGGAGAATATTCCTCCAAACTATTACGGGGGCCAAATGTCTCAAGCTACGTTCCTGGTTTGCTATGTACACACTTCTCCTTTTTTCACAACTTCTCTGGTATAGTTATGATTTCTGACTCTATTGAGAGATAACTTAAAAGGTGAATTTACTAACTATGACTTTTCTATTCAAGAGGTAGAATATCAGTACATTTATGGACTAGAGGGATTATGGTGTTGGATATTGTCTTTAATGCCTCAGGTTTTGGCATCTACCAATACTTCATGTACAGTATGCAATCAGTGTTCCAATGCTTTTGTTGCTTACCTTGTGGTAGTCAGGACAAGTCCTAGTTGATCATGACTTTGGTTTTGTGCTTCTCTACTTCTCATAAGAAAAATTATGGGAAAAGGAAAGATTTATTTCAATGTCATCAGAATAACCCCCCTCATGCTGTTTTCGTAAAACTCAGAGTGGTAAATAAGACAACATGATATTTCCTACAGCATAGTTGGCATATTTTTGCATGTATATTGTATAGTGAAGCTTTCACATTTTTGTGAAACTCAGAATGGTAGATATATCAGTATAATTAGTTGGTTACTTCTTCAATGCTAGACAGTAAAAACTCAAAAATATAGTGAAGCTGTCATATGACTCTAGGTTACTTCTTCTATGCAATTTTTTTTAATTTTTATGACAAGGGAAACCCACAGTTGCTACCCTTTTGGTGCGCACAGGGTAATGCAACAGCTTGCAAATCACATAGGAGAGGTAACCTGCACTGGGCAAGCCTGGTGCAACGAGCTCGACCCAGAAGGCAAACCTCTTGCTTTCGCTAACAAGGGGTTCAAACGTGAGACTTCCAACATGGAAGTCCCAAGCTCAAACCACTGGGCCACCCGGAAGGGTCTTCTATGCAATTTAGATGGCTAATTTTCATGGTTCAGTAAGAAGTCTTTGCATCACATTCAGTTGATGTATTATTTTTTGCTATTGTAAGAAATCCTTGATGACATTCTTTATCATGCCAATTCCTAAGGAAGATGGACCCTCCCTTGTTTTCTTGATCATTAATAGCATGTTCATAGTGCATAATATCATTGCCCTTTTGTCATAATCCTTCGCCAACACCATTTACTTATGTTCTGAAGTACACTCCCAAATTTGTTCATCGTATCAAATGTGTTTGAGCTTAATGTGTTTGAGCTTAATTTGAACTTAAAAACAATATGTTTTCATGGTCTAGATATGCATTGTTCAACTATAGAAGATACTCATGTTTCACACAGCAACAAAAGAATTTGATCAATATGAAAATCTATTTATTTAGTTTAGTTTATCTTGTGTTTAATTTTTGTCTGCCTAGGTGTTCTCTTCGTGGCAATTGAAAAGCCTACGATCTCTGGCCTTCAGCGGCAAATCCCTTTATCTTCAATTGGATTTAGTGAAATGGCACCTACCAGGAATACTGATCTTGCTGAAGCACTGTCCTTGCTTGAAGAATCTTTATCATAATAACTTCTTATGAATTTACATTCCATGTATGACCAAAAATACTTGTTTTATTGCTCTTGTTGTTTTATTGCATTCTTTGGAATGTTTGATTGGAACTTATTATCAGGTACACTAAAGATTTGGCAACATTTTGGTTTCAGACGTTGGCAAGACACTAACCAGAGTTGGTATAACTGGGATGTGTTGAGCACTGACTCTGGCATTTTCATGTTTTTTTTATATGAACATATTTTTTTTCCAAATTTCATATACATTGTCCCGACTATGAAATGTGTGTGTTTCTCTACTATATGGAAATAGGATGATTTATTAATCTTCCTCTCTATTTACTCATTATATTGGGAATCCTGAGAAACCATCAATAGAAACATATTATATCATGTTTTTGCTAGTTCTCTGTTACTCTCCCAAAAGACAAAAACAGTATTCAAAGTGGAACTAATTTTCTGAACTTGTATGGTTTTATTACTTTATATGGATTGTTTGATAGTAACTATAGATGTGTTCTCATCTTGTGTTACCCTAGCAATTTGTAATTTTTGGTCCCTATCAGTGTCCGTTATATGCTCGGGTTTGTACAACTGTTGACGGGATATTTTCTCTCGTGCTTATTTTAGAACACACTCTCATGGATTCGCCATATGAGTTTGATGCGGATGAATATTCGAATGGTAGATTCTCCTGTCCAGTGCTTGACTCATCATCTCAAGAAGGTGGTGGTAGCTGGTCATGTAATGAAGAAGCAGGTGATTTAGTTTCTGGAATATTTGTTCGAGCATTCCGTGGTGTTAGAGGAAGTGAAGATATTCGCGGAAAAGCAGGCCCTTTGGCCCAACTAATTTCTTCTCTAATGAAAGCACCATAAGCCTCTGCGTCTGCGTCTGCTGTATCGCGCTTCTACTGAGGTGAACCCTTCAGACCTGTTTGCTTAGATACTTTTAGTTCGAACAGTTTGTTCCTGGATGTCTTTTGCAATAAACAGTTAGTTGTTATCAGTATGAATAAGTCAAAGTCATGATAATAATGTGCACATGAATTACCTTGCTCTTCTATTCTAATACCAAACTTCTACTTGTCATGGCTTGAGTTTCAAGTGGCTGCTAGTTCTTGTTTCTGATCCTGCATATCAATCCAAAGCCTATCATTGTAAACTCTCACCAGTTAAAGATTTTTTCTTGAAAATATCTAACCATTTAAAATTCCAAGTTACTAGAGTTAATAAATATAATCTTGAAAAATAAGGCAGGTCATCCAGTGACAGAGTCAGGAGTTTTGCTTTAAGGAGATTCAAAATAGAAAGAAGTCAAGGAGATTCAATATATATAGAACAACATACCCAGTATAATTTCACAAAGTGGAGTACGGGGAGGGTAAAGTATACAAAGACCTTACCCACTACCTTGGAGGTAGAGATGTTGTTTCCTGTAAATATAATCTTGAAAAATAAGGCAGGTCATCCAGTGACAGAGTCAGGAGTTTTGCTTTAAGGAGATTCAAAATAGAAAGAAGTCAAGGAGATTCAATATATATAGAACAACATACCCAGTGTAATTTCACAAAGTGGAGTACGGGGAGGGTAAAGTATACAAAGACCTTACCCACTACCTTGGAGGTAGAGATGTTGTTTCCTGTAGACCCTCATCCCTAGGGAAAAATAGTCTGAAGCAGTATACAGAAATAAATTACGGAAATGAAGAAAGTTGTGGAAAAATACTATAGACCACCAGGCAAATCATCCTAGACATTAGTCATATCAAGATAAAACAATAATCAAAGTGTAAAATATCCACTTATAATAACCAAACTCAAAGGACAAGAAACTACAAAAGTAATACTGTGACTAATAGTATAAGCGAAACATCGCTCAACTATGTCCTCGGTAAGGTGAAGTTGCGTCATGCCCTATCTAATCACTTCTTCCAATATTTCTTTGGCCTACCTTTACCTCAATTGAAACCATCCATAGCCAAACTCTCACACCTCCGCACTGGGCATGCCCAAACGATCTCAACCTCATTTTCCGTTTTTGTCTTCTATCGAGTTGAGGCCACTTCTAGTATGCCTAGATAGGAAGTTCGGAGGTCGAGGATTAGTGTAGAAGGGTAGTAGGTAGACAAGTGTTGTAGTACTTCGACATTAGAGAGGCAGGGAGCAAGTCTCCTCTTCTCCTTTGTTGGCAGTCTTAGCTAGTATTCACATTGTATCTTATCTTTCCCTTTTAGTACTATTTGTTACCTTATTTGTTTTGTTTATCTTGCTATTCTGCTATCATTATTTTCCTTTGTGCTCTACTTTGATTATTTTGAGGTCAAGATTCTATCGGAAACATCTCTACCTCACAAAGGTAGTAAGGTGTGGGTACATCCTATCCTCCTCAGACCTCATCTACGGAATTACACGGGATATGTTGTTGTTGTTTGAGGTGCAGAGTGTTAGCTCTCTCTAAAATGTGTACTTGGAAGCACGAGAGCTACTTAATTTTGTAATTACTCTATTTTAATATGCTATAAGCTTATATTTTAGGTTTTGCAGTAAAAAAATTTACTGGTAGCTTGGTAGACTCTTCGCCTGTTATTGTTTGGTCGAGTTGAACCATATGTCTTCTTTTAGAGAAAAACATATCTGATAGAGAGTGGGGTTAGGAAGTACCTTGCAATTTGCATGGAGAGTAAAAGACTGGACCTCTTTTTTCGTTTTAAAAGAGAGGATTTTGATCTATGGAGTGCTGGCCCAGACATCATGGTTATCAAGATAAATAGTACTTGGGGTCAGGGTACCTCATTTTCATATTTCTATATGATGGAACTAGAATGTTCCTCTTCAATGAGAAAATGCAGTCGATTATGGACAAAGGGGTCTTCTTGGATGCTTGTAATTGCTGGAATCAAGGTCAAGCTAGAGGCACTAATATGAATTCTGATAACAATTTGTTTTTTTTGTGAATAGTTGAGGCAGGTGCCTTGATTATTCCCTTTTCATTTAAATAAGCATTTCTCAGTTTGATTTTTATTTTCCTTGGTAGCTACCAAAGTCATGCAGAGAGTTTAGACATTTAATATGAGTAGTTTTAGGTTTCTTGTTATGCTTATGTTGTATTATCGGTTTATTGCAAATTTGCAATGGTTGCTGTTTTTTTATGATTGGGTTTATAAACCCTTGTGATATACAGTTTTAGACATATATTTTTTTTATGACAAGGGAATCCCGCAACCACTGCCCTTTGGTTGCGCATATGATAAAACCCTGCTTCTATGCAATAGCTCGCAAACCACCTAGGAGAGGTAACCTGCACTAGACAAGTCTGGTGCGACTAGCTCGACCCAGAAGGCAAACCCCTAGCTTTTGCTGGCATGGACTTTCAAACTTGAGACCTCCAACATGGAAGTCCCGAGCCAAGACCACTGGGCTTGGGACTTATTTATTGTGAGTGGGAAATGCTTGTAGCCGATGGTCGAGTGTAATTTACTGTCAACAAAACACACAGTGGAGTAAGTTTAGAGGCAAGACATTTTTGCCGAAAAAGCCTTTTATCTTCTATAAAAAATCTTTGGTATAACTCTGTAACTTTTATTAAGCAAAATTCATACTGTTTCTGTGCTGAATAGGCAAATCTGTAACTTGTGCTAAAAGAGCGCTTGATTTTTGATCTAATTCTAGAAAATCGATCCTTAAGTAGGTATACAAAAAATGTTATGATATTCACTCTCTTTCCTTTTAGATAGTTAAATTTATGGCTGGAATGGTTCATCTTTAGTAGGGAGTATTTAGGTTCGGAAAATCTACAGTTTTGCTTTTTGTTTTAAATATATATTTTTTTAAGGAAAAGAGGTCAGTGGGACACGATCCCGATGACTATTTTATTATAAATAATAGAAGCCTTTAGAATAAATAAAGAAAAAACTGAAAGTAACACTCTGTCAAGTTGAAACTGAAATGTCTCGAACTTTCCACCGTCTCCATGACCGCCGGTCTTCTTAGCTCCGGTATGGAGATTCCCGATCATTTCTTAGCTTGCTGGCCTTTTTGTAGGCGTTTTGTTGCATTTTTTTTTCTTTTCTGCGAAATGTATCTCACGTTTGCTTGTTTATTCCTAGGTTGTTGTAGGCATTGATTCTAGATCTGTTGTTGGTGAAGTTCGTTGTTGTTGAAAGTGATTCCAGATCTACTATTCTGATGGCTCTGTGTTGATCTTGGCAGTAAGGTATGAATTTTCCTTTTTTAAACCTTTCTTTTTTAATGATGTGCTTCTCGGTATTTTCCATGTACTTGTCCCAATTTTTGTGGTTATTGCTTTTGCTCTGTTCTTCAATCCAATCTTTATAGCTGTTTTTTAAGAGACTCTGGTGGTTGTGGCCTTTTACTGCTTTTCGTCGACTTTTGAACGGTGGCATGAGCATCTTACGATGTTGATACCACCACTGTCCAAACTTCGATTTATTCAGTACAGCCTGCCCTTGTATGTGTCTCCTTTTCTGATCCTTCCTTTGTATTGAGATTGTATACCATGTACTTAATTTCCTTGGTTCTTATGTTCTGTTTTTTCTTTTTATGTATGATGCATGTGCGCTCCGTTCCTGCAAAATTGCGCAAACAGTTGGTTTTAATCATATCCTTGTGTTCTTCTCCCAAGGATTTGAACTCGAGGATCTGGCGTATGAGTTTTCTCATTCTAGTCCTTTCATTTTTAATGATATGTTTCTGGTAATTTTTCATGTACGTGTCTCGATTTTTGTGGTTGTTGCTTTTGCTCTGTTCTTCAATCTAATGTTTCTGGCTGTTTTTTAATAGACTCTGGTGGTTTTGGCCTTTTACTGTTTTCCATCGACCTTTGAACAGTGAGATGAGTATCTTAAGATGCCCATACACATAATCAGCTTGCCCATGTATGTGTCTCCTTTTTTGATCCTTCATTTGTATTAAAATTGTATACCATGTATTTAGATTTTTTTGGTTCTTCTGTACTGTTTCTCTTTGATATATGATGCAGGTGTGCTATACCTACAATATTGAGCAAACAGTTTGTGTTAATCGTATTCTCATAGCTCTCCTCCCGAAGGATTTGAACTTGAGAATCCTTTTTTTTCCTTCTCTTGACTATCCTTCACTTTCTGCATAGTCTAATTCTTAGGTAGGCACCAGTAGCTTATCACTATTTAAAACTCTCCTGCCTTGGAAATTCCATTTCTTAAAAATTGTTCACTTTAACAGTCCCTTTCTCCAGTGCTAAGTTAGCCAATTTATTTGCTTCCTGAGAATGTGACTTGTGATCATTGTTCTGCCTTGCATCTGTTTCCATATCTCCTCTGATGTAGTCACCACTTTCCATGGAACCTTCCAAGTTTTTTCTACAATATTCTTAATTAGTAGTGAATCAGTTTCAGTAATCACCCTGTCCAAATGTGCTGTCCCTATATACTTCAGAGCCCGTAAAATAGCCATGCTTCTGCTTGTGTATTAGTACAGGATAACTCTTCTATCTCCTTAGCTTGTGCCTGTAGTACATCCCCTTTGGTATCTCTTATGCAAACCCCCCAAGAACTCCTTTCTAGGTTTACTTTAGATGCTCCATCAGTAATAATTTTAACCCATCCTGTGTCAGGTGAAATGACTTTGGTTACCTTGTCTGTGGGACTGAAGTTATATAGAGCCTCCACCATTGTACTCCAATTGTAAGGGACATTTCTGCAATTCCTCCTCTTAACTTTTATGAATAAAGCCAGTGTGTGCAAGATCTTGTATGTCAATCTGTTACTGGGCGTCTTCCCTCCATGTCTCAAGGTGTTTCTCCTTTTCCACAATTCCCACAGTATTATAGAAGGAATAGCATGAAATGTGTAGTTAATCCTGGGATGAACATTTATGTCCCACCACTTGGAATAATAACATTGTTCTCTGTATTCATTCCTGCTGGTCCACAGAAGTATTTTCATACCATTTGAGCAGTTGATGACCGTAGGAACACATGAGCTCTGTTTTCTGTCTTAGGGTCCTCATAGCAATATCACCTGGAGGGAAATTGAATTCCCCATCTTCTCAGTGTATTATCTAGTGGTGTGTTTGCTTTCCACAGCTTCCACATAAAAAATGAGATTTTAATAGGCATACCTTTTGTCCATATGTAGTGTTACACTTTATTCACTTCTTGTCTCTGTCTAATATAATGGAAGGCTGAAGTGATTGTAAACCTTCCTGCGGATTTCAACTTCCAATAAGGTCTGTCCGATTCCTCCTCATCCTTCGGTGGGTTAATTTTGTGAAGGATATGCTCTACCAGATTTTGACGGAGTAGATTCCTGAGGTACTGCTCATTCCATTGTCCTGCTTCTGCCTCATCCTTGACTAAGATCACTGTTTGGTCATAATCTACTCACGGAGGAATACATTTATGAAGTGCCCCCATTCCTGTCCAGTTATCTAGCCAGAAGTATGAATCCCTTGTTTAATTAACCACCAGATTTCAGGTTGGCTCCTCTCTGACTTTGATCATTTTCTTCCATATGTAAGTGCTTGTCTTGGCTTGTACCACCACTAGATTGTGTATTTTTAGATACTTGTTGGTCGTGTAACTTCTCCACAATGATTCTTTAGTCCTTATGTTCCACCATAGCTTTGCAAATGAAGCTCTAGACACATTTTGTAAACTTTTGAAACCCATTCCTTCCTCCTCTTGTGGATGACATAAGATTGTCCAAGTAGCCCTGTGTCTACTAGAGTTTCCTACTAAGTTGCTTCAAGAACTTGGCAAACATTCTGTGAAGTTGAGTTATGATTACTGCAGAGGGTCACATGCTGATAGCAAATGGATGGCACTCTGCAGGACTGATTTAATCAGGGTTGTCCTTTCTTCTATAGATAAGAGCTTTCCGGTCCAGGAACTTAATCTATTTTGAACTTTCTCCAGCATTTCTTTGTAAGAAGTATTTGTTTTTGCTAAAGTATATTGGTAATCCCAAATAGGTAAAAGGAAACTCTTTTCTTGGGATCGTGGTCACTGAATATACCTGCTCCACCAACCTTTGTACGGTCAGATGGTGCATGAAAACTGCACTCGAGTCTTGACTTTGTTGATAAGCTGCCCACTCACCTTTTCATAATTTGCTAGAGTATTCATTCATAATCTGTTCTAAAGACTACCTGTCAGCTGAAGCAAATAGAATTGTGTCATCTGCATTGGCTAGGTGATTCACATAGGGCTCCACTTTGGCGTTCCATATTTCTTGTATCTATTATTATAGTGCAATGCATTTACTGCTCTGGATAAACACTTAGCAGCCAATTTGGATAATGTAGGTGACAGGGGATCTCCATGTTTCACACCACTGGAAGATTAAGAATCTTTGAAGTACTAGTATTGAGTACCAGTTATTAGACACTATCCTGTATACCATATCAAACAAGGACTCTCCAAAATCCATTTTTTTTCAACGCCTTCGTCAAGAAAAGCCATGATGCTCTGTCATAAGCTGTTGTCATGTCTATCTTAATAACAAAATTAGCTGACTTTTCCCTTATTCTGATATAATGAATTATTCTTGCACTTGTAGGATGTTCTCTATGATACTCCTGCCTCTAAAAAACCTGACTCTTGTGGAGATATCAATGTAGGAAGGGGCTTTACCATTCTATCATGAATGAAGAAAACCTTGCTAGTGAAATTGCTTAAGCTAATAGTTCTCAAGTCTGAAAAAGTAGTGATGTCTTTCTTCTTAGGGATTAATACTAGAATTTACAGGTTATTTACCTTTGGTGCTTCATGGACACAGAAAAATGACTTCACCATCTTTGTCATAGCTTTGGCAATTATGTTCCAGCAAGCCTGAGATTTTTTTTTGCTGTATATTCATCTGGTCCTCCTGCACTGTCTGAATTTAATCCAAACACTGTATTTTTTATTTTCACCTCGTCTGGCATCTCAATAATCTGTGCATTCTGATCATCTGTTATTATTGTTGGGATATATTTTAGCATCTCAAAACTAGTATTGAGAATTTGAGATTATCTCTTCTGTATAAAATCTGATAGCTTCCTGTGCGATGTCCTCCTCACTATCCAGCCACACTCTGTCATCTTGTACTCTCTGTGACTTCAATCTTCTCCTTTTTTTTATTGACTTGTGAGTGGAAAATTTAGTGCATCTATCCTTATCTGCAAACCATTGCATTTCTGCTTTTTGTTTCCAGAAATTTTCTTCCACTGTATAGAACTTGATTAGATTTGCTTGTACCTTCTGGAATTTTCTCTGTTTGTTTTCGTTGGGTGTGTCTCAAATTTCTTTTCATGAACCTGCACCACTTCCTCCAAGGTGGCTATCTGTTTGAAGATGTCTGCATATGTATCCCTACTCCATTTTGATAATGCTCTACTCACCTTCTTCAGCTTATTACGAAAGTTGAAAAGGAGGTCAGAACTGTGCACTTCCTGCCAATTGTCTTCAACTAATTTCTGTAATGTCTCATGCTCCACCCAAAAGATCAAAAATCTGAATGTTTTCCTGTTTGGCCTGTCTTCTGATTTGGTTGTTAAGATTAATGGAGAAAGATCAGACCCTTGCTTAGTGAGGTGTTCTACTTCCAAGTTGGGGAATAGATTTTGTAAAGCTTGATTACCCAAGCATCTATCCAGTTTTAAAAAAATTCAAGTTGCAACTTTTATCTGTTCTTCCATTCCACCAAGTGTACACGCTTCCTTAGAAACCCAAATCTGCAACTTGCATCTGTTCTTCGATTCCACCAAGTGTACATGCTTCCTTTGAAACCCAAATCCGCTAGTTGACGAGTGTTTATATAATGAATGAAATTAGTTCCATTGATTGGGCTGGTAGACCCCCAAGTGTCTCCATATCATCTGTTATCATATTGAAATTTCCTACTACTACCCGTGGGAGAGTCATGTTTGTTGCAATATCATAAGTCATCCCACTAAGCAATTCGTGTGTGTCTATTAGTACTGGCATACACTATTGTAACCTGTGTTTCCTGTCCATCATCATTGTCAGTGAGTTTGAAGGACAACAATTGTTTTATATCAATTTGCACTTCCATCTGGAATCTGTCTTCTGTAAAGAGCCATGTTTCTCCCTTCAATTTATGGCTGGTTGTTCCCATATTTAGCCATAGTCTATACATGTCAATGTTCCTATGATGTTGAAATGGTTCCAGTAAAGCTGTGATGTTGAAGTGTTTTTGTCTGCTCAATATCACT